TGTGCTTGATTTTGAGATCAAGCGCATTCATTCTAAGAGGATCCTTGAGCTTGTCTTGATTTGACTTATATTCGGAAGATCTTAAAAGAATTTAAGATGCATGATAAAGGGCCCATCAAAACTACTGCCAAGAAAGACCATGTGCTTACTCTAAATCAATATCCATAGATGGAGACTCATAAGAAGATTATTTGTGTACCATATGCAAAGATAGTATGCAGCTTTGCGAATGCCATGTTGTGAAAGTGACGAGATGTGCCACATAACTTGTCGAGTCACTATTTGAGCAATCCGGATCTTGATCATTGGCAGACCATGAATTTGACACTCTGAAATCCCTTAAGAACCATAGACTACTCATTGATATTTCTGAAAAATGATCCCCACTATGAGGATAGAGTAAGTCTAATTGGATGGTTAATCAGAATTACTAATAGTTGACATCAAAAAATGTTTCCACTCCAGGAGGGGACACGATTTCTTGGTGCAACAAATCAAATGACATGATTAGCATGTCTGATATAGAAACGAAGTATATGAATTGATGTTTAGCATTACAGGGAGCATATAGCTCATGAGGAACCTATAAAGCTTGGGGTTATGGCGAGTGCAGGAGAGCATGTGAACGTGTTTTGGTGATAATAAGATAGCACAATCTTTTGCAAAATAAGTATTACAATAAGACATAGCAGATAGAGTGTAGGTATCACAATTTGCAAGGTATCATTAAGAAGAAAGTGAGAGTCCTGACATTTAAACTCTCTAAGTATTACAATAAGACATAGCAGTGTGGGTATCATAATGTGCAAGGTATCATTAAGACGAAAGTGAGAGTCATGACATGTAAACTCTCTAGTAAGATGGTAGCAGGCCCACGATTGGGTAGAGAGATTCATGTAGAGAGATTAGGACTTGGGTATACCTAACTGACTCTTTCAATATATAAATGTTTTTTATTTACCATTTATGTCAGTAATTTATTGTTCACAATTCACACATGGTCTTTGATTGCACATTCAGACTTGTGCACAAGGATGCTTTTTTATTGTTAGAGCGTTGACTACCATTGATGAAACACACACAAGGTGTGTGAGCATTGCTTCGATGTAAGATTGAGATGAGATTCCATAGTTAGGACTCGACATGATCCATATGAGTATGTCATCCAACCGGATCATATAGCCTATATGATTGCTATTTTTGAGCATCGAAGATGTTTAGGTTAGTTGCTTGGGTGAGACCCTGGGGTGAATTGGATATGGCATGATGCATGGTTGCCACTGAACTAAAAATTGCATGGTGTAAATTCGACGTGGATCCTAGTATATTTATCTTTTACAGCATGTTGTGTGGCTCATACTACATGTACTTAGCAAGACCACTACTGGCATAGAGGTAGAGGTATACAGGAAGATCCTCCCTAATACACTATGCGAGATATCACTAGTCACCTAGAGTGCCCTTGTTGACCTCTGCGACTATATTAGAAAGTTGAGACTTGATGTTGCAACTTTAGCATGCTCTCCCTGATCATATATGATTTAGCCATATTATGGGTAGAGCTAGAAAAGCAGTAAAGTCAAAATAGAATAATGGTATAACTCGGGGAAGATTGTATCTAGAGAAATAAGTTTACTCTAAAGATGATCATCACCTGATCAGTGCATGAGGTTTTTTTTATCTTGGGTGTTCTTTTTCAAAATATTTTTAAAAAATATTATAACATAATAAGATTTTTACAATTGAATTTTTTGGATTGCATGAGCGATGGTTTATTAAATGAGTTGAATGGGAGTACAATAAGGGTTTGAGTAGTCTCCTGAGCATAGAGTGGCTCGTAAGGGATTAATAGAGGTACTTAATCCAGTATGGACAAATGAGTCTATGACAAGCTGGAGCATTTTTTTTATAAAAGAGAGGAGATATTTCATGTTAGTTTGACAGAGACTTAATGCGGTTCTCTCTGTAAATATGCATTACTCCTTAAGGTCTCACATCATATTTCCCGATAGAATATGAGAGAGTTCTTGTATTATGATATTTCAACATGTTTTGTGCACCCACTGCGGGACAAGTGAGAGATGATGGATTTGGAGTCCGCCCCTTTGTAGGTACGGGGACCTCCATGAAATTTTCAATATTCTTAGTAGTTTAATAAAGAAGATGATGTATGTGGTATTACTGGATATATCAGTAGTAGAGAGAAAAGAAAAGGGGATCCCATATAATATAGAATTTTAAATTAGAGAAAGTTGACTAGTAACAAGATTATCCAAAATAGGAAAGAAAATTCATCTTTTGGATAGGATTCCCTCGGGATGTTTCTATATAAGGTATTATGGGAGAGGAAAGAAAGAGAAATGTTTAGGGGAGTTGCTTAACTGTCAGAAGGATTTTCTCTTTACACCTAAAAGATTCCCCCCTTCTCTCTCTCCTAGTTTCATCTCTCTAGACACCCAAAGTAAGAAACCCCATATAGGTAATCAAGGGTTCTTGGATCTTTATCAAAGACACCGGATTTGCTTTGTTTATACCATATTGTTGATTCTATGAATCAAAAGTCAGCTTAGGGATGCACAAATCGAACTCTCAAACTGGAGGACATGTGAGGAGAAAGGAACAGAATGATCATTTTAAACGTACGGGACGAATCGGATCTAGAAATTTGTATTTGATTTCTATGTGATATATTTATTTTTTGTGCTTCCACTCCTTTTGGGATTCACCAAGAGAATCCTACATAAAGAGCCATGATTATGTTTTGCGTGTTCTGTGCTTTGTAAATCTACTGGGTAAACCTATTTTCTTAGGTAGGTGATGCATGAGAATTTTATGAATAGTGCTTGTTACGACGTGTATTTCAAGATGTCATATTATAGTTTTGATTATTGGTTTCATTCTTTTTTTTATGGTTTTAAATTTAAAAGATCTCTTTTAGTCATTGCTCTCCCTATTATATCTCTCTCTAGGTTGATATTGGGGAAATATATAATGAGACCATTTACGTTTGGTATAAGGTGGTCACAATAAATCTTGACCATTGGATGTAAAATTGAGTGGCTGCATTAATTTCATTGACCAAACTCAAAGTTCAAAAGAATTTTTTTTGAACTTTGTGACAGATTTCACATCAGTTATTATAAGTAATTGTGACCTCCTTATCCCAAAAGTAAATGGTCTTATTATATACAATCCAATTGATATTAGCTTTCAAATGAGGAGAATAAATTTACACTAAAAAAGCTCCCCTCCACACGAGGTATGGTCATACTCTGTTGCCATAAAACTAGAGCTCACAGCTTCACCGTAGCTGGAAGGAGGTTCAATTGCAAGTTGCAGAGAGAGGTTAAGCTATAAAATGGATGGGAAAGGGACCAAGGATTTCTTTTTGGGGACCGTTTCAAGCCAAGGTGGTGGGTTACAGTGTCAGCTATAGTTGATGATAGAGAAAAATCTAAAATCTATAATTTACGTTATTGCATTAGATTTGGCAGTCCTTTTGCCTTGTTATCTTTGAAGTTCTAAACTCTATACTTGAAAAAAGTTTATATATGGTGTGAATCTTATATTATATAAGTGTACTTAAAAAACTCAATGGAGAAGGTTGTTCCCATGCTAACAAACCCTTTAATTGGACATCTCGATCTAGAGATTCATAAACATGAAAAAAAGGGGATTTCTAGTACTAAAAATAGCTCATCTTGTAATATATTATCTGGATCGTCCATTTTCAAGTATTATAGATCTATTTGATCATCACTATTTTTAAAACTTTGAATTTCACAATAGATAAATAATAAATTTTTATATCAAGGCTTTGTGGCACCGAAACTATATTTTCAACGTGATTTTAAGGTACACCTTGCTTCAATAAGGCTGACACCTTGTACAAAACTCTCGCAATTTTGGTGAGATTTTTCCAAAGGTTGAATTGACTTCCAAGTAAATGGAGATAATCATTCACCCAAAAAGAAAAATGGTGATATTCATTCTACTATTTATTTATGAGCTAATTATTGCCAAATTTGGATAACTTCGATAAAAATAAAAAAATTATGCAAGATCTGCTTAAAAAAATGCAAATCATGCCCCCATTCAAACAGTCAAATCACAATTATTTGCTCGTTATTTTCCAGCTTTAGAAGCCGAATCTTCCGCCAAGCTAATGTAAGATGTGGCTTTAGAAGCCGCATCTTCCGCCAATCAAACATGCCTCCAACCTATGCCATAATGGTACTAATAGTTGTATTTTTGACAATAATAACTCAAATACAACAGGTCCTGCACAATAACCATATAGTTAATGTTCATTGGTAATTTTGCCTTTAATGCACTAAGATCCCATGTGTACACAAATGACGTGGGCAAACTAGTGTTCGTAAAATCGAACCGGAACGGTTAACCAAACATGGGTTTGAAAGCGGTTTAACCGATCTAATAGGTAAACCGGCCGATTCAATTGCTCTAACCGGAAAAATCTCGAGCGGTCAAAAAAATGTTGGAAAAAAAAAAAAAAAATACAAAAAAAAATCTACTAAAATATGAAAATCAGATAAAAAATGATTAAAACAAAACACATTCAAATGACATTGAAAATTAATGAAAAAATTGGATTTTAACCCATTTTATATTTTCCAAGGGCTATTTTTAAAGTTTTCTAAAAAGATAGAAAAATATAAAAGTGAGTATTAATGACCAAAACAATTATTAAGCTTTACCATAAAGTAAAGAATATTTAAAAATACATTACAAATCAAATTCCTTATTTTTGAGAATTTATATACATTTTTTTTAAAAAAAAAAATTTAAAATACCGCTTGATCACCTTAACCGGCCAAAACCGGAACCGTGGCCGGTTCCGATCTAACCAGGCATTTAACGGTTAGATAGGGTGATTTTGCGAACATTGGTGCAAACATATGCCATCATTCATTAATTGAATCCGAGGCCAAAACGCAGATGCTCTATAATTCAAGTATTCATGATTCAGAAGATTTGGGGAAAGAAAATGCAAGCATGGGATTCCATCATTGAACTTTGACTCCAAAATGATGGTGCACTCGTGCAGCCATCCTCCTCACATGAACAAAGCAAGTGGCAACAGAGAATATAAACATAGAAAAAAATACCTGGATAAGGAAGAAAGGTCAAACCAACTGACGCAAACCATCATTTTTCTTTCCATGAAAGGGCATTAACCTGAGCTATAAACAACAATAAAACGAGGCAAGGCAGGGGAGAATTGTACAAGGACCCATTAATATACATGAAAATCCATTCTAAGTTAACTATGGGGGTTTTTCTGGCTGCTCACGCAAGTATGGCTCAAAGAGTGTGACACTAGGATTAGGATCATAGCGCAGTATGTCTGCTGCTCGTCGGAACTCATCCCTAAGGACGTTTATGCTGTGTCTATCTACAATGCGACCCAGATCATGGGAGATATCAAAGGGATCCTCGATACAAATCAAGTGGCGATCCTTCCCAATCCTTCTTGTCCACTCCTTCACACGTTTGCTGCATTATCCACAACGAATACTCGCTCCATTAGTATAGTCCGTCATAATCTTCATACAATTTTCAAAATTTTCAACTTCTAAACAAACTAGGGAAGCAGCATAAATAAGAAACCTAAGTATGTAACACAACTGAGGGATCATATACAACAAAAGAAATCACAAGTTACATATTCCTTTGCTATTGAAAAGATGAAGAACAACATGATATCAAACAGATGACAATGCACTATTTGTCGTCTATCACACCCTTCCCTCAAAATTTTACAACCCCAATCCACAAATCCCCATTGAACAAGCTTTCATTAATGTTTTGGTAAGGTTAGCAAGAGGACTTCAGCAACAAATATAAAGGACTAGGGGAATTTATCAGACATTAAGTTCCAATTGTTTAGAAATATAAAGGAAAAAGTACAAAGCACGACTTGGACAAACATAAATATGGGCAGCCAACACTTCACTGAGTGATCAAGACAAGATGCCTCACATTTTTAGATTTTTTTCTATTAAATTTCAGGATCCTATTTTGAGAATTTTCGGGGTTTATTTTTGGGGTATTTTAAGTTGTTTATGGATTTTTGGGTTAGTTTGGAATAGTAATTAAGAGTAAAAATCATCTTTATTTATGTAGGAGGTATAAGTGTCATTTTTTGTCAAATTTTAAAGGAAAATTGTTTCATGCAAGCTGGACCACATTTCTACAATATGCAGTCCAAAGGTATAAAACATCCATTTTAAAGATGGATGCAAATAGGTAGCCCATCTAAAAACAATTGTAACTAACGGTCCAAATGTTTTTTTAATGTAATTATTATTTCTAGTTTTCCAAAAAAGAAAATTTTCATATTCATGATCTCCATATTAAATATTATATATTCTCTAAAAATTAGGATCAAATTATATTTAAAAAATATATTTATTGCCAAGCCCACATGTCTACAATATGCGGGCTGGCCGCATAGAAACCGTGTCCAAATTTAAATAGGAGCCCATTTTAATTTTAATTACTTAATTAGGAGTTCAAGTGAAATTAATTAAGATTTCTTAAGTTTAAGTTAGGTTTAGCCTACAGTTGATATAAGGGTTTGGATTCAGAGTTGATGTTATTTGTTTGGAAATCAGATAAGTCAAAAACGTAGGACCTAAACATGTTTCAAGAAACTGGTACACAAGAACTATCCAAACTGTTCTGATTAACATTCATTCAGTCACAACAACAGCAGATATGAATCCAATTCCACTGATAGGCCAGGTTCAGCCGATGTTAATCCACCTCACAAGCAAGGGAGAGGTAATCTCGCTCCATGTGAAGATAATTTGGTTCATGATGCTGAAGAGAACCCAACGAAAAACTTTATTTCATCAAGTTGTTCCAAAAATCAGCAAGTCATAGATTGGGACTCACCAACAATCTTTGATGAGTGCCCAAATGAAGTCGATGATCTTGTTTCTGATGAGTCCTCGGTATACTTGGTGTAATCCTAACTCTATAGATTTAATTCCCATCAAATCTTCTTTAATATGTTTAAATAAGTCTTAATTATTTTATAGATAATTAAAATGAACCTTTAGACCTCTCAGGGTATTTTATTTTATTGAAAAATAATTTTTATATGAGAAAAAATCAATTTTCTAGATTTATTTTAATCAGAGAGAAAAATAAAACATTTGGAGGTTTTGTAAAATTCATTTTAATATCTAAAAATTAATATTAATATAGTGGGGGCCCAATGGGGTTCCTTGGGCCCACTAATGTATGGGGCGTGGGCCCAAATGGGTGGTGCGCCCAACCCCATGCAAGCTTTTCTTATTGTTCCAAGTGCCTTGTAAGGCATACATTGTTTTAAAATTTTGGAAAGTTAAGGTGTAGGAGATTTGAATTGAAACTAGATCGGAAAGTGTAAGATATCAAATAGTATGTATTAAATACTTTCTCTACACAAAATATTTGATTGGAAATATAGTTATGGAAACTGAGGGATAAGGTTCTACATCATTCCTTTAAGCATGATGGTTAATCTGAAGAATGAATGGTTGAGATCTCTTCACCCCATAGGTCTCCAAGATCAAAGGTCAAGATTAAACTTCATAATGATGGTAAAACCCTAGCCTCTTGTCTATAGATATTAGCTATGGGGGTTCTACTTCTCATCTTCTACTTCTCATCTCTATCTCTCTCTCTCCAAGCAACCAAAGGGGGCACGCCCCACTCTAGCCTTCTCTCTCTTTCTTTCTCTCATTAAAAATTAGGGTTTAGGAAGGTTAACCCTAAGGGGTGGCGCGCCCAAGCCACACAAGCCGGCCTAGGTTCTTGCCTCATACTCATGTATTAAGCCTTGGTCAAGAAAATCCCATATGATGCTCTCTAAGGGTTTTTGCCTAGGCTTCTCTAATTGTGAGACGTGTTCTTGAATCGAGATCTTGTGCGCCATTGGTGGAGGAGACCCGGTTTGAGGTGTACAAAATCCTTGGTAGTAACCTGAGGCAAGGTACGAGTTGTTTCATGATTCCGTGCTTCTGTTGCTTCTTTTGCATTCTTATGTAATTCTCAATTCTACATGATGAATGTAATTTTCTTTTAATGGCATGCAAGTGAGAGGTCTTGGCTATTTCATTAAGTCAAAATTGTATTTTGGACACTTATAAGTGGGTGGCAATACGTATAAAAGAGTAGAAAATTTTTAATTGTTATTGATTTACCCTGTCACATAATCCACCTTTCAAGTCCTCTACGTTGAAGGTGGTCAATTGTCAAAGCCTTATCAGAGAGGGCAATCCAAACAAAAACTTGGACTTTAGGGGGAGCGATGGATGACCATACTTGGGCAACGAGGAGTTAGAAAAAAGGGGAAAGGTGGGCGGCATAAGAAGTTTCTACTAGGGGGGTACGGAAAAACAGCCCGAGGGGGAGGGGGTCCAAAGATTTCGTCCGACTTAGAAGTGGCCACGAAGGTCAAGTGAAGAAAGGCCGATAGGTTTAGGAAGTCTAAAGTTTCAGGGTCCGAGGGAGCCTGAAAGAGGGGTTCCAAACTCTAAGGAGGCCCGATAGGGGCATTTCTGCCACAACCAAGGAGTGTTTGTTTAGGGCCAGAGAGAATTTGTTTTCTTAAGTGTCGAATGCCAAGGCCTCCTAACTGTTGGGCTGGCACACTTTCACCCAAGAGATGAGATGATACTGCTTGGTATTAGAGTCACCTGCCCACAATAATTTCCTCATTTACTGTTCTAGGCGAGAAAATACCGCTACTGGCATATGAAAAAATGACACAAGGTAAATGGGGGTATTGGATAAAGTTGCCTTGATGAGGGTTATTCTGCACGCGAAAGAAAGATAGCGACCTTTCCATCCAGCCAGCTGATGGTCCACTTTGTCAATAATGTAGGACCGTTGTCTCTTTTTAGATTTCCCGAGTCCCAAGGGCATCCCAAGATTACTGGTGGGAAGGTCCTCAACTTGGCAGTCCCATCCAGAAGCCAGAGATCGAGTCTCTTGCAAGCTCAAAGCCACGCCAACCATTTTTTATTTTGCCATATTGTCTTTAAATCCCATTGCGAATTCGAAGCATTTGAGAAAAATTAGGAGAGATTCAAGTTCCAGCGGTGCCGCTCCGAGGAAGATGAGCGGGTTGTCTGCATATAGCAAGTGGGATATGACTGGTCCCCTGGGGCTACTCTTGAACCCAGGGAGAGGGCCAGACTGATACATGCGGGAAATTGATTGGCTGAAGACCACAGCAGAACTAGCAAAGAGAAAGGGGGAGAGAGGGTCCCCCTGCCGAAGGCCCCTAGAGGCCTGGAAAAAATCTTTGGGTGAGCCATTCATTAGGATGGAAAAGTGGGGTTGTGATTAAAAACTCTCATCCAGGATGGCCCAATCAATCGACATGGTCGAATGCCTTTTCCCAATCAATTTTGAAGATGATACCTGGCTGCTTGGCCAGGTGTCTAGAGTGGACACATTCATGGGAACACCAGGACCCCATCGGGGATATGCCACTCTTTGATGAAAGCACTCTGAGAGACGGAAATTACATGGGGTAGGGCTTCTTTAAGGCAGATGCTAACACTTTAGAGAGGATCCAGTAGCTGAAATTAATTAGACTAATGGGACGAAAGTGCTTAAGCCCTTCAGCTCCTTCAATCTAGGGAATTAGCGTGAGGAATGAGGCATTCATAGCTTTATGGATGATATCGCTGCAAGAATTCTTTGAAAAAGTACATAAAAACATTTCTGAAGGTACTCCAAAAAGTTTTGAAAGGGGCCACAGAGAAACCGTCTGGCCCTGGGGATCAGTCTTGGCCTAGGTCTCATAACATTAGAGTTGAAAATGTATACACTCTCAATGGAGTCACTTGGGAAAGATACAGCAATAAGGTAAGAGCACTAAAATCCATCCAAGTAATTTTTCTACTTACCTTTCCAATGCGAATCTGCGATTGGAGAAATGATTTATATATTAGTAATTTAGTGATAGAAATGTAGTATGCTACTAGAATACCAGTTTAATACTCCTTGAGTATATATTTTCAATAAATCAGTCTTTAATAAATGTCATTGCCATGTAATGTAGTTCCATTGTGGGCTACACATGGGGAAAAGCAAAGCACTTACAGAGGAAGGCCTTTCACATATTGAATTTGACATGTAGCTCATCTGGTTGCAAGGGCATCTTTAGCAAGTTGGTAACATTTTTATTCATTGTGCTATTCCTATCATCCTCGTATGACGTATTAGAGCAACTAGAATTCCTTTCCATTCTGAAGCATGCATTCATGCTTCATCAAACAGGTCTAATACAAAAAACATAAACAAACTTAAGCAAAAGAAATTTAACGATCTTGTTCGTGTTCGATATAATCTTTAGTTACTGGAATCTCCAACAAGGGGTGATGATCCAGCTCTGAGGGCACACCCACATCGTGATAATAGTCTAGATATGATCCCATTATGGGAAGCATGGTCCCAAGCCAATAGGAATCAGTTAAAAAGAATACAAATCCATATTCTTTTGAAAGAAAAGAAGCAATAAATGCATATCAATTAGAAAAGAAAGTAATAATTGCATATGCATCAAAAACAAGAAACTGCTATCAATAAAAAAAATGCAATAACAATTCAAATCTATGTTCAGTAAATTCTTCAAAAGAGAAAAGATCTTTAAATTCGCATAACTCACAAAGGGAATTTTAAATTCAATGCTTCCAAAATTGCATGTAATGTAGCATTTGCTACAAATGTTTTGACCTGTCAGTTTGAACAAATGATCTCTCGCTTCCCTCTCTCTATATCTCATCCTCTCTTTATATTTCAAATAATTGCTCAATCTAGCTGTTGCTTTAGGTTATGTTTTTAAAATTGATGACGGAGAATATGTGAAGAAAAGGGCAGGACTTATATAAGTTACGCCAAAATAGTATCACTTGCCATTTATTTATGATTTAAGATAAAACAACTATCAAATTTCAAAAAAGATCAAATAAATATCATTAGTATGTCATTATGAAGGACTTATATATGAGAAAACTCAAGTGAATCAATACCAGTTACTACTCTCAAATATCACTGGAGTGAATTCATTGCAAGTATAATTAAAGATATTTCACACACATTCATCTAGCTATTTCCAAAAAATTGTGATAGAACTCTTTCTTTTAATTTCTTTAGTTTAACGTATTTATTATATAGGCGCCCTCATGGCACCCAAAGGGAACTCCGAGCAAGCAACGATCTCCCGCTCCTGTATCCAACAACTAAGTATGGTATAGTCAGAGGCTGATAGCACTATCAAGAGCATTTTCATATCGACCTCACTACTGTGAGAGATATGGATCATTTTGTGAGTGGTTGGTCAAGGCCAAAGACAAACAGTTGTTCACTACAAAGAGTTTGAGTTGGGCCAAGTTCAGGATGCTGCTAGAAACTCGTCAAGCCCCTGTGTAGCCCACTAGGTCTCAAGGAAGAGCATAAGGACTCTGATGGTAATGGAGGAGAAGGTAATTAGACATATGCAGCCTAGAGTCCTTATTCCATAATCCATGGTTACAATATTGTATGACTGAAGTGTTGCTAAATATTGCAAGTTTAGGCAAGTTTCAATCTTCTAAAGGTTCACTAATTCAAGTTTCAAACTCACGTATGTATGCACAACCCACCAAAAGCATTGACTTCCCCCAGAGTCCAAACCACAGGCATGCACACACACCCAACTTGCCCCCACTGTTTTTGGGGCACCTCAATCATGAGGCACCCGCCTAGGCAACCCCTAGAAGCCTAGGCATCACCTTGCACCTTTTAAAACAGTGTAAACAACTATGACATGCAGAACTTGCATACCATCACATGGCAGAATATTAAAGAGAAAGTAGATTGATACAAGCATTTAAGTTTCAGTGAAACATATATTAGCTTTACAAACAGAGCACCAATGTGGAAGAAAGTCAAAAAATTTCAAGGTCAAATCCATCATTGCAATATCCTACTCTCTTGAGGCATCCAAGTAAAAGTGATGACACTTAAAGGGCACCTTACCTGATTATACTTCCAGTGCGAACAGATATGACAGAATTTGCATAATCATGATGATATGCCCAATAATCAAAGAAAGCACATATTAACTGACTGACTGTTTCTTTATTCGCTGCACCATAATACTTAAGATTCTCCACCTTGTCATAGAAAGCACATTTAATGTCCTCTATAGTTTCTACATAAGTTGGCACCATTTCCTGCCATGGGACACTTATACATCAAATGAGTTGCCTCCAGCAAAGGCCACGAAGAGTTTTCATATAAAGCGTAAGAAAGAGAGAAAGATTTAGGCCCTAAATCTTTCTACACAATATTCATAGACACTGACCACTTCCATCCTTCATTAAGGAAGAAATTTGAAATAACATACACAATCTCATGAAGTAAGCAATCTCAAATTATATACAGGTGGGGCAATCCAAATTTGTAACATAAAGAAAATGGAAAAATGCAACACTAAAAAGCATTTACCAATTTTCAGATGGTCCTTGTTTTAGGTGGTGAGGTGAACAAAGTATCAAATAAAAACAAAATAATTTAACCTTGGAGATCAATGAATTAAAGAGAAGATTTCATGATTAACTTATAAACCCAGGAAGATTACAATCATTCTGTTATTAAACAATGCATACACAAGCTATGAAGGATGACATATGAAATCACGTTATAATATTTTAAGTATGGCATAGTTTTGTAAACATGGATAATAGCGAAACAAGCTTGCATGACCAAACTGGAGCAACAGAAGCTCCTCAAACTAAATTATGAAACCACTGATGCTCATCTCATGAACAACTTTCGCAAAATACAAGGACGTGCAAGCAATATTGAGACGATCATTTAGGGGCTTTTGTCCGCGCCATGCCTCATCCCACATCCCTTTGTTTTTTGTTTTCAATAATTGCCCACATGTTGGAAATCCAACAAGTTTTCAGCCATCTCGATTATTAAGGGTCTATTTGATAGTGACAATGCTGAACAACCCTATTATTCATTGTTTCTAATACTAGTAACGCAACTTCCGAAGCCGTCGGGTATTAGAAAAATTGGACCTATTATGAGTAATTATTATTATTATTACTAGTAAGTTCTTATTATTTAATTTGTAAAATAAAATTTACATAGTATAATTAATTTTATTTATTTCTTATTTTACTTATTTTTATTTTCATTTGAACGTATTTTTTTCAAATAAAAGTTCTTGAAATAGAATTTAGCATAATAGAATATTTTTTATTTTCTGAAATATTTAATAGATAGAAATATTTAACTGTATTGTTAATTCTATTAGAATATAAAATGACGTATATAAAATGATAGACTGGTAAGATAGAAATCTAAAATAGATTAGAAACAAAATAGAATAGAAACTTAGAAATAGGAAATTAGAAGTAAGAAAATTAAAAGATCAAATAAAAAAGAAGAGAAAAGTGAAGAAAAGAGAGAGTGAGGGTTCTGTTGTGTCCTTCTTTATAGAGAGAGAACGTGGGAAGTTTGGGTCTATACTTGAGTTTTTGGGATCTTGTTGCTCGCCCTGTTTTAGAGAGAGAAAGTGTCCATTTGTAAGATCTTGGGAGCCTTGTTTTGGGTCCTGTTTCAAAGAACTAAAGCTGCTGTAAATTGGAGCTTTAGGGCTCATTTTATCTTGTAATCTCCTTCACACAAGTAGTAAAGCCTCACACCATTCTCCCGTGGACGTAGGTCACGATTTGTGACTGAACACGTTAAATCTTTGTGCTTTGTAAGTTGCATGTTGCCGTATTTTTACATTTCATGTTATTCTTTTGATGTCATATTATTTCCATTGATGGTCTATGCTATTTTGAATGCACAATAGCGGTAGATGTGACACCCTTGATGATTTTTACCACAATCGAGCCCCAACAACTGGTATCAAAGCTTAGGTGTGATTCTTTTGAATTGGGTGAAAGGGTTTTTGCGATTGTACTTATTTGCTATATTTTTTAGAAAATGGAGAGGAAAATGGAATTTGAAAAACTAAATCAAAGTAATTGGCCAATATGGAAAATGATGATGAAAGAACTAGATCAGCCACTTTAAGGAAATGAGGTCATGCTTGTAGGAAGGGGACGAACATTTAGGAGCTTTTGTCCGCGCCATGCCGCATCATTATTGGCCACAGTGCTACCCTCCCTTCTGCATATGATGAAACATACTCTGGACCATGCCCTGAATGGTAAAGATGAAGCTAGTGAACCTAAGATTGAAAGGCCCAGAAGAAGCTTACATCCTCTAACAATTTTGGAAGAAAAATCTAACCCAGGACAAGGGAAAAGTGATCCTATTATGGTAAGGATGAGCTGCAAGATAATAGGAGTGTGCTTGGATGAGCCAATGTCAAGGTGGTGATCATGGAATCTAATTCAATGTTTCCGGAACCCTGACAAACTACAAATAATAATCTCATTCAAGTGATATGCTGCTCTGAGAACCTAATTAAGTCCTACATTCCTCAAATAAATTTTTGTCTCACATGAGACATACGAAATTCTATAATGACTCTGGATAAAATCATGAGCTGAAACCTAGAATACACTCTATATTTTTGTCCCTACTCCCACACTTGGATCATTTATATCTCTCCTCAACAACTCATATATAGCGGAGTAATGAGCAAAATAGAAAAAAGAACAACAAACATGTTGCTAAGCGATGGATTTTCCATCATGGAGACTGTTTTTGACAACCTCATACTATGACCTGTTACACTACCAGGATTACCACTAATACTACCCAAAAAAAAAAAATCCAGAACTGTCACCTATTATCTAATCCAGTTCCTGGCCTGTTGTGTGATATTCATTTAGTAAAATGATGTGTAGCTCTTTTGTGCGTCAAGAGAGAAGAGAGTGACTTACCAATTTCTTTACAACTATTACTACATAAAAACGAAAGAAAAGTTAAATTGTGCTGGTCAGGTAGGTAAATTCTAACGGATATCAACAGCTATTACAATGAGAAATGGACCTCAAATGCTACAAACTTGATATAATTCTCAAGGAAAGATCTCAGGTTGATATTCAAAAAAGTAGACGCAAGGAGAGCGGACACTATTAATGGGTTTAAAGTTAAAACCCGTGGGAATCAAACAAGTGAATGTGAATTACGGAAGCCAACAACAAAGATACTCTACTGTTGGATTAGAATACACTCTCAACACAAATGGGCGTCGCTAGTCACTGTTGACAGATAATTAGTTGTTCATATCTCTTAAACAAGTCCAATATACAGGTATTGTGTGGCACTAGCATCCGGATATGCAGGCACATAAGTAATACACATGTGCATCGAACATGCAAACTGAAACCTGTACATGCATGTAAATGCATATTTATCAAAGATGCTATTTTGAGACAAATAATTACAAAAGTGACACGTATACATGTAAGAGAATCTAGTCTAGCATGCAAGTATGACCCATGCACCATATGAAACTATGGTCACACCACAGCATGCAATAGGAAATATGCCTATGTAAATAGGCTTAATCCACACGGCTTAGTACATATTATTATGAAACTGCCGTCAATAATTTTCCAGAATCCATATCTATACTTTCAAAAAACAAAAAAAGTTTGAACTTTCCAAAAAGAAAAAAGAACAAGGATTCATATGTTATTCCTGTCATTTATAGAGAAGATGAGGATACTATTGTTATCATAAAATAATTTGGAACCATGCAAATATAAAGAGGATTCAAGCCGACGTAGGATTGAGTTTTCTGGTCTTTCATCCGACTATGCATATGTATTTTGTTTTCCACAAAGGCATTAGCAAGCTCTCTCAATGCATAAATTAGGTGGCATCCACCTACAAAGCAGTCATGTGCAATCTTTGCTGGGTGACTTGTCCATACTGTATCTACATTCAAATTGCCTGTAGACAAGTCATTTAAGTTCTCAAGGCCCACCCTCACCTAGACAGCTTGTTTTATGGAGTCCCCCACAAAGAAATGTAGGGACACAAAATTCCAACATCATCACCATTCATCTCCATCACACAACTTGGATTGAAAACAAAGCAATGACAATAAACTGACAGAAAATTCAAAGCCCCCTGCACTGCATTCATTGACTCTGCCAGAATTTACAAGATTGTGCCACTAACAATGGACCAATCACCTTGCAGCTCATCAAAATGTTAAATAGGTCTGATGCCATTAATCTTAGTCTGCAGACTATTCTCATTAATTAAGATGATAATATGCAAATACAGGACACTAAGGATGGAACTCAAGAAATCCTAAAATCCAAGATCCAAATATGGATGAGTACCCTATCCAACATATTAAGCAGCATCAATGCGAAGTATAAACTTTGGACGGCTGCCCAAGAATTTAAAGGTTTAAAATTAGCAGGACTAAAACAGAGTATATGGAATGCAAGTTTAGTAATAATAAGAGTAGAGACGACGAAGTAGTTAAGATTGATGGCCAAGAAAGACATAAACAAGCGCACTTTCGATATCTTGGGTCAATAATCCAGAAAAATGAAGAGATTAAGGAAGACCTCACTCATAAAATAAGAGCAAGATGGACAACGTGGAGATGTGCAACTGGAGTTCTATGTAATCCCCGCATACTAATGAAACTAAAGGGTAAGTTCTATAGGACAACTGTGAGACCAACTTTGTTTTATGGGGCGAATATTGGGCCATCAAGAAACAACATACCCATAGGATAAGTGTTGTTGATATGAGGATGTTGCAAGACAAAAAATGATTGAATTAGAAATGAATACATTCGAGAGAACTTGGTGTAGCTTCCATAGGCGATAATATAAGAGAAAGTATACTTACGTGGGCTAGCCATGCATAGTGTAGACCCAATACAGTACCTGTTAGGAGGTGCGAGTTGGTTCAAGTGGAAGGCTCCAAAAGGGCAATGGGTATGTCCAAAAGGACATGGTTGGAAGTAGTGAGAAAGGATATGGGAACTTATAGTCTTACTGATGATATGGCCCTTAATAGAGCAAAATGGAATAACAAGATTCATATAGCACACCCCAAATAGTTCGGAAAAGGCTTTGTGATGATGATGATGATCCTATCCAACATATTGAGACACAAAAGAATATAGACTTTGATATAAAGTAAACAGCATAAAAACAACTTAAGTAACTTTATTGTGATAGCACAGTATTCATATTATATATACCTATATCAAATACATTTTGTAGATATCTGTTTAAATATTTACATTAGTTTTAGGCCTCTGATACGATATATTTTGTTGACATATCAAATTGTTTGTATTCAATGTGTTTTTTATACATATAAACTTATATAATATATGCCTATATCAAAATATATTTTGTAGATACCTATCTAAATATTCACATTATATTTAGGTCTTTGATACTATATAATTTGCTGACACATTAATGTGTTTTTCTTATACATATTAAAATCTGGTATGAATATCAGAGTCATAGGGAAGGATAGCGGTCTTAGGGATTAGGTCGATCTTGCATTCCCTTTCATTTTTTATGATCAAGAGCTTAAGGTCAACAATAAAGGGAACCACCAATGGAGGAGATTGACAAAACACTTGTTTAGAGATGAAATCAATATGTCTTCTGGATGTGGATCCCACTTTTTGCCACTTATGCAACAAAATTTTAGTTTATAGTCAATCACATTTAGAAAATGAATTCATCACTTACGATTGTGGTCTCGGGCAATGTTCAAAAAGGAAGATGTGGCCACCTAGTCAAGGACACAGACACGTGGGCGCCCTAAGGTATCTCTTGGGCGGGAAAGGGTCTAAGTGTAGTATATATATATATAATATAAATATATATTATATTGAGCCGTACACTAATCATATTTTCATTCTTTTAGTATTTTTAA